TACTACTTTTGATGCTGAGCTTGCTGAATTGAATTATGAAAATGAAAACGAAAATCAATTAAATCAATTGAATAAAAAAATAAAAATCAATAGTTTCAAACAAAAATGGTTATCTGAATATAAATGGCTTCATTATGACCATATTGATAAACGAATGTTTTGTACAATTTGTATTCAACATAAAAGAAAAAATCAATTTGCCCAAGAAGGTTTGTAATAAAATTATTTCTAATATTTAATATATAGTATTATTAAAATTTTGACATTCAATTAGGTTCAAAGAATATAAATAGAAAATCAGCAATAAAATGTCACAAGGATTCACAAGATCACAAAGAAGCAGAAAAATTAGAACTTTCCAAACTTGCAACAGAAAGATTAGTAGAAAAATTAAATGACAAATTTATTAATGAAAGTGATATACATATTATAAGCATAATGAAGATTGTTTATTATATTGCACAAAACCATATTCCTATGAAAAAATTACCATCTTTAGTTCAACTTGCAAAAGAATTGCATACATCAGATATTTCTGATAAATCACTTTCATATTGTAATGAAATTGCTGGTAATGACATGTTAGCTGCTTTATCAGAAGTTATCTCAGAAAAAATATGGGATGAATTGTCAGAAGTAGAGTTTTTTGGAGTTATAATAGATGAATCCACCGATATAACTACTACAAAACATTTAAATGTTTATATTACTTATGTGTCTAATACTGGTATTATTCAAACCAAATTTTTGCAATTAATTGAATTAAGTTGTGGAGGGGATGCTGATACAATTAGTTCATTATTGATAAATTTATTTAAAAAAAAAGGTAAATTTTTGTTAAATTTTTATGTATATACACAAACATACATTTATACGTTAATAATATTTTTTTTTAATTTAGACATTTTGAAAAAACTCATTTCTTTTGCTTCAGATGGAGCAGCAGTAATGATGGGCAATAAAAAAGGTGTAGCAATGCAATTAAAGCAATTGTGTCCATTCCTTGTAGTAAATCATTGTGTTGCCCATTGGTTGGCATTAGCTTGCAAAGATGCAAGAAAAGAAATTATTTTCTATAATCAAGCTGAAGAAATGATGAAAAGGATTTACAAATATTTCAAAAGTTCATCTACACGAAAAAATAGCCTCAATCTTTATCAAAAATTACTCAATATTCCTTGTATTAACATTCTGAAGCTTCATGACATTCGTTGGTTAGCTTGGTATGATGCTGTAAAAAATGTATGTGAATCCTTACCAGCACTACTCATTCTATTTAAAGAATCTGAATCTGAAGTTGGTCAAAGATTATATAATGATCTTCGAAGATGGAAGATGATTGCATTTTTATTTTTTTTTTATGACATACTTGGTCATTTGTCACAACTGAGTAAACATTTTCAAAAAAAAAATCTAAGGTTTAATGATAGAGCCAGCAATTAAAACAACAATACAACTTATTAATTCAGAATATATAGATGCTCCTCAAGGATTATTTGGAAGAAATTTGAAAGCATTTATTCATCAAACAACTCCTTTTAATAATTCAATAATTAATTATAATAATCATGTGCTTGTTTATTCAGATGAAGATTATGATAACTTGTTGTCAGATATATATGAATATGCATCCATGGTAATTTATGAAATTAACGTTAGATTTCCAGATTATCCTTTGGTTACAGCAATGAAAGCATTGAATCCTCCTGAGTGGCCATCTATTGAATCTGAGAATTTTATTACATTTGGGCTATCAGAATTAAAAATTTTGGTAGATGTTTTTGGAGTAAAAAAATCTACCAATGTTAATGGTTATAATGAAATTTCTCCACTAATTGATCAAAATGAATGTCAGAATGAATACTCTGGTTTTAAAACAATTGTTGCAACTAATTATGTTGAAAAAAATATGCAAGAATTATTACCATTAATTATTAATGACTTTTCTGATGTGTTTCCAAACATCATTAGATTAATTAAAATTATTTATAGTATTCCATTTTCAAGTGTGGATTGTGAAAGGGGGTTTAGTGTACAAAACTTAATCAAGTCAAAATTGCGTAATTCTCTTAGCACAAAAACATTAGACATGCTTATGAGACTTAGTATTGAAGGACCAGAAAGCAAGGACTTTGATTACAATAAAGCATTTATTATTTGGAATAAAAAATGTAAAAGAAAGGGTATAACCATTAAATAATATAATATCCTTAGATATAGATATATATATTTTATTTTTTAAAAAAATTTTTTAAAATG